AATTCCAGAAATAAGAGAACAGAACTGATGGAAAAATGATGAGGTTGGAAATGGAATTCAAAGCTCAGATAGATGTCTAAAACTTAAATAATTCTTAAACAATAAAGGGCCTTTCCCCAAACCTAGGAATTTCTAAAACATTTTTTATTTCCTGACACTTCTGATCCTAGCTCCTCAAATGATTTCTGTCCCCACCTCATGACTACTAGCTGTTGTCTTCATTTAATGTCTACTGCTCTACAGTAAGATAGGGTGGTATGGAGCAGGAATCTTCTTTATCTCCAGGAATATTTCCCGGCAAAAAGTAAGCATGTGAATGTTTTGAAACAAGTAAAATTGTTCATCACACACAAAAACAATTTATTTGTGCATAAACTCCTCCCAGGAGCTGCTATACAAATAAGAAAGAGCCATCATTTTCCAATCAAATTCTCAATGCAATTGCCTTGATGGAGTTTAAAAATTCCCATTTTAACAAGAAATGAATGTGTAGCACGGGCCCATGTTGCAGAACTATTCTGAACAGATAATATTAACCAAGCAACTTTTACTCCCAAGTAAATACTGTCAGAAAGAGCTACTTTTAACTACCTCTGCTTGCTAAAATAAAAATAACTTATGCATCAAAAAACTAAACATGCTTACTCTTCTACTTCTGATAACAATGGAGTATCATATCTTATTGGTTAAAAAAGAAAAGAAAGATAAATACAACTAGAGGACTGACGTGCAGTGCCAGCCCCGCCCCCGCGGAGCACTGAGATGGTGATGGAGACTGGGTGTGGTGGCACATGCCTGTAATCCCAGCGCTTGGGAGGCTCAAAACAGGAGCATCACTATGAGTCTGATCTGTGTAGCGAGACCCTGTAGGCACTGTACTAAAATACCAAAAAAAAAAAAAAGAATGAGAGCAAAGTGTCTAGGCCACACATCAGCACACTGCCCAGCAGACGCAGGGAGATCTGGCAAGGCCGATGCAATGAATCTGCAGGGCAGAGAACAGAGCAGAGTGTCTCAGAGCTGCAGACATCATCACCTCAGCCAGGAAGCCGGAAGACACTCTGCAGACACGCATCATCAACATCGAGAGCACACTAGAGAAAAATAAAACCCTACATATCAAAAGGAAAACTACACTAGCAGGACATCAGGATCTACACAAAGGAGTGAAGAGCATCAGAAATGATAAATAGGTAAGTAAATAAATAATTTTGCTTATTGTTGAAATGGCTTTAAAGACAATTGTTTAAAGCATAAATATGTACTGTAAAATAGGTAAAAGCATACTGTGATATTTATAACGTGTAAAAGTAAAATATATGACTGACTATAAGCACAAGGCAACAAAAGGGTAAGGTACATGTTGTAAATTTCTTACACTGTGTGAAGAGAGCCACCATCCATGAAGGTAGACTGCAGCAAGTTAAAGATGCACACCAATTATAAACTCTAAAGATTAAGCACAGCAATAAAGGCCATAAATACTCAGTCCAAAAGGGGGAAAGAAGGATAAAGGGAAGGAGGAAGAAAGAGTAGATTGGAAATAACAATATGAGAGACAAACTCAACCATCATTAAATACAAATGGTGTAAAAATCCCAATTAAAAGACCAAGACTGTCAGATTGGATCAAAAATAACATCTAACTATGTATGTAATTACTACATGATACAGAAAAATTTTACACACCTTATGATTACAACTCATGGCAAAGTACTTGTTCATCATAAATCAGCCATAAAGGCCACTGAAGACACACTCACTTGGGCCATCTCCTTGCAATACCCACAAAGGCACCCAGATGCAGGCTGTGGAACCCCTCTGTGTTAACTCTAAGATGCACATGGATGACACTGGTTCTGGGTCACAGGGGCAGTGAGGAAGACTCCTGCAGTGGAGGCTGTCAACACCGCTGCGCTTAAGACAAGCGGTGTAGGTGGCGGGATCCCACCCTCACTCAGGTTGCCAGGGCTCAGTCAGGAGACAAGGAGCTTTTTTTGTCTAAGAAATACCACCAATTCCAATGTGGTCTGTTCACTAACCTCAGATTTCTTTAAAAAAGCAAAGATCACGTATCTCCTCCCAGGAAAAGGCCACTCTTTCCTCACACAGCCCTTGAGAAAACCTACTTCTTCTAGTTCCCTACACACCTTTTACAGGGCCCTACCACACAGTTATCACTGAGCCTGACCCTTGCAAGAACAGACCCTGCTGGTTCTACCTGATCACTACCACAGCTATGCCCTTTCCTGCCCAAATATGTCCTGACATACTATAAATTCTAGCTAATGTCAGGTTCACTCAATACAAATTTTGAATCTGTTACTCTTAAATCTTACAGTTCTCTCAGAAGATAGTCCAAATCTCTATCAGAGGTACCCAAAAACTGCTGGGTGTGGTAGCACACTCCTGTAATCCCAGCACTCAGGAGGCTGGGGCAGGAAGACTGCAGTGAGTTGGAGGCCAGCCCAGACATGCAGTGAATTTAAGGCCAGACCACATAGCCAGACCCTGTCTAAAAAAAAAGTACATATAATCACCAACAAATCAACCTTGATTCCCTATCACACATGCACTTAATGTACCTGACAGTGTCAAGGATGGGGGACAGTACCAGCAACCAGGAGGACAGTGGCAGGAGAGAACAGTCTGAAGACAGTGCCGACACCACCACAAGTGACCAGCCCTCTGCTCAAAAGCAAGAGGAAGTGATGGGGCTAAGTGTGTTCCTCAGTGGTCTGAGCCCCCACAAGCTTTCTATGAAACAGTCATGGCCCAATGACATATTTCTCCAAGAACATGGGTCTTAAAAACCAGCTACCTCATCAGGACTCAACCAAAGAATCAACACTCCAACGGTGAAGGGAGAAACAAGTGTGACTTGTGAATCACACGTGTTATACGTAGGAGAACAAGAGGAAACACATGGATTTTTCCTTTGTACATTAACTCTAGAACTCTAGAATCCAATTATTAGTTTCTGAAATGATACTCTTCATCAAAGCTACCGGAGTCATTCCTTTAGCAGCTTTCATCTCCTCCTCAATACCTATTCTCTAACCTGTCCTATTTATCTTTTACTCTTGGCTCTCTTCTCAAATATAAGGAATAATTTACCAGTATCAGGAGGCTCTTCTCTGACCTATTGTCTCACTTCTTTGCAATGTTTCACAATGCTCACACCCTCTTCTTAAAATTCTTAGGTTTTTGGAAATGCAGTCGTTAGTCTTTTCCTACCTTTCTGGTCTAATCTTGCTTATTTCTTTTTTATCCTAGTTATGTAGGTCCGTATACAGACACCTTCCACAAACCTCTGTCTTCGCATATCTAGTTTATGCACACACATACACACAACTCTGGTCTGAATGTGTGGGCAGGTGGGGTGTACAGAAAGGTGTTTGGGTAGGGGGTGCTGCTCTCAGCAGTGGATCAAGGCTGGCACAGTACAATGGCATCTGGAAGTGGGTTCCTCATAAAAGGGTGTGTTCAGCTGGTCCCCTACCCTTCTTTATCCTCCTACCAGGGAAGATGAGTAGGAATGCCCTTTCCTGATGTGGCCCTTGTTCTGGGTCTCCCCTGCCTCCAGAACCATGAGCCAGTAAATTTGTTCCCTGTAAGTTACCCAGTCTGTATTCTCTTATAGCAGCACAAAATGGACTAACGACACAAGCATAGCAGACACCTTGCAGATGACTGCTTGCTCCCCTGCCTGTTGCCCGATCCCTATGCGTTCATGTTTCGCTAAGTTGCCACCTCAGTGTTGCATGTTATAAAAATTAAACTGTCCACTTGCCTTACAAGACTAGCTCATCCTCATGCTTCTCCAA